TTTTTTTCCGCGGGCTTGTTTGCTGGGGCATACTAGGGCCTCACAGCATCATGTTCTCTCTTGGGCGGGTGGACAGAATTCTGCATCCTTCACCAGCAAAAACGTATAAAACCTTACAACTGCTGGGATGCCGACCAGCTACCTACTGGTGCCTGGTGCGGATTTTTGTTCAGCACCTCCCGTCCTTCCAGTCCTTCCCCGCCTGTAAAGCCCGAAGTCCACCATGCCGCAGAAGAGGAAGATCTGGACCCAGCCAGTGAAAGGCACCTGAGGTCCGGAGCCGGAGCCCCCGCAGAACTCTTGGTGCACAAGAGGAACCCGGAAAAACCTGGGGGGGGGGGGGGGGGAAGAAGAAAGCCATCCCCGGCCTGCCGGGCCATTTCACATCGAAAGCCTCGCCTGCCCCAGCTACCCCCGGTGTCACCATGGTGAACACTGCAAGGAAAAGACCCCCAAAAGACCCCCAGTTACCCCATGGTGAAGTCGCCTACTTCCCTCACGTTGAACTCCGTAAGGGCACTCCCAGTCACCAAGGTGAAGTCACCTACCTCCCTCACGTTCGTTTGAACACAGCAAGGACGTTGAGCCCCGCCAGGGGACGATCGCCCCAGTTGGCCCCAGCCACATAGGTGTCCTTTTTGGAAAATAGATGGCCCTAGATGATTGAACCAGGCAAACCAGGAAAACCAGGAATCGCCTTCTCTTTTTCCAACCAAACCAACCCAAAAAGGACGCCTATGCCCAGCCGTCGAAGGCCACAAAAAATGCCGCGCCTTGCCCAGGGCCGCCAGGCCGTTGGGCACCTCTGAGAACTTCAAGCTCTTGGCCGGCCTGCCATTCCGAGGCCCAGGTTCGGGATCTCTTGGGTGAGATGGGCGCTGCCCAACTTGCGTGCCCCCCCAAAAAAAAAACATGGCGGGGTTGAAGGCGGAAACCAAAAGTAAGCCAAGGAGAGTCGGACTCAGAACTCCCGACATGTGGGAGTGGCTGCTTAGGAATGCTGACGTTGGGGGGCCCACTCGTGTTGTGGATGTATCCCTTTTGTTCAGAGATGAAAAAATGAAAAAATAAAAAGAAAAAGAAGAAGAAGAAGAACAAAAACGAGAACAGGGGCGGAGCCCTATGTTCCCCGGGTTGTGCCTGTCTAGCCCCAAAAAACCGGGCGGTTGTTCAACCCACCTCCACTTGATCCTCTTTCGCAGGCCCCAAGTCCCCGGTTCAACGGATGCTGAATACCCAGGGAGTGCGCCCATTTTGGGGTCTGAAAAAAGAGAACACCCAACAGCCCAAAACCAAAGGGACCGCATTCCCACTGGCCCCATGACTTCACCCCCATTTGCATGGTTTAACCGAGGAGCCATTCCAGTGTCTGACTTTAACCCCCGAAAACTGCCAAAGCAATGACCCCAGCCAAAAAAATAAAGCATGGCGCCCTTCCAGAAACGGGAGCCGTGCGCTTCTTGAGGTTCCGTCTCAGGCCCCGGCGAGAGGTACCCCGGGAAGCGGAAGTACTCCGGCGCGATGACTCGGCCAGTTGGAAGTGTAGAGAGGTCACTCGGGGCGAAACTTCTGGAGGGTTGGGTTTTCCGCTGCGAGGAGAGGCCAACCCGTGAGGGAGTGACCTGCTTGGAGGAACCCGAGGTCCCACAATCCGTTGCGAGGAAAGGCCAGCCCCTTTTTGTGAGTGACCTGTTTGGAGGAAGGTCCCACAATCCGCCCTGCAGAGAAGCTTCGGCGAAAAAGCCTTGTCGGAATCTGATCAATGGGTCCGGATAACCTGGCTGAGGAGACCGCAATGCCTCTACGTTTGAGCGTGTTTGCCGACATTGCTTCAACAGGGTTGTAGTCAACGACCACTCCTTTGATTACACAAGGCCTTCAAAAGCGCGGCTTCATCATGCACAGAGTCCCCTGATGTCGCGGACGTTCTCATTCCCACGACCTGTTTCCGAAAGAATGGACGCCACCAGCTACAGTTCGGCTGCACGACCCTCCTCCAACGCCTCGGAACATTGAGAAGCGTGATTTGTTCGTCTGAAATGGGGGAACCCTCTGTTTCTTGAATCCACCAAAAGGAGCACCAAGACGCATCCAAATGAACTACAACCGGCCCACCAATCAACTTGCTTGCTCGTAGGCAGAAATATGGGAATGAACCTTCCAACCATGCCCTTGGACCAGACATAAATCTATGTATATATATATATATATCCTTCCAAAGAAACAAGCACGTAAAATAGCCAATGCTCAAAGAGCATCGGTTTTGTGGCCATGTCTTCAATCGAGGGGAAGTTGCCAACAAACCAGATAAACCTCAACCCTTACCAAGATGCGTAAAGAAAGAATAGCCTCATCAGTGGAAATCGTCGCTCATGTTAAGTTTGGATTAAGCCGCTTAGGACAATACTCACCATGGGCAATATCCCCTAAACTGAGTTCATGCCAACTACTAAAAGGGGTGTCCCCACCCTCATTAGATCAATCCGCATTGGGTGGAAACCAGCTACAAGGATACGAAGCCAAAGTGGGATTAGGTAACCAAGGAACCAGGGCAGTAGGAGTCCCGGTCCGCCGTTGCGAGAAAAAAAATGCCGCCATTCGCGCGGTATGTCCGCAAGAAGTATAAAACCTGAATGGGGACCGGAACTTGCGCCATCTACGTTTACCAAACTCTACAATTCTCCGACTCCTTTCAGTCCCCTAAGTGGAAGAATCATAAGACAGCCCTTTAGATACATATCAATGATGACTTTCCATTCCCATGAAGGGAAACCGAAAATGAAAAAAGCTGGGCCTGCGAAAAATAACGGATCGCAAATTGTATAACCATCCCTGGTTGCATGTAGCAGAAAAGTTGGACATGCACAACCCCCCCACCAAGGACCGAATCAGCTGAACCACTCGGAAATTACAGAGAGCAGGAAAAATTGGTGGACACTCCACTGGGAGTCCGTGCCAACTCATTCTTACTCATTCACATTCCTTGGGTGGAACAGCTCAACTCCTTCCATGTCCTTTTTGGTTTGCTCAAAATAAGTGGAGGGCCCTAATTTAGATGACCAACACAACCTATCTATTGACCAGGATTGACCATTTACCCCATTGACCATTGACCAGGGAAACCCATCTACTTCTCCAAAAGGCCACAGCTCTCCTCCGAGCCGCATCCCATGGCCGCGAACATCGCCACGCGCCCGTTCTTGATCTCGCTCTCCCGGCGGCGCCGGAAGGTGGTCACGTCCCCGTCCTGAAAAAACCATCCGGATCTTGGCCCAGGGTGCTTTGGCTCGCCGTCATATGTCAACCTCTTGATACATGCTAGTTTTGAAGGCTTCCCTCAATGCTGCAAAACCCATGGAATCAAACGAGATTCTTGCACCTGTTCATGGTTGCCCAGCAGAAAAGGGGGGGAAGGTGTTTAGCACGGCTACAGAAAGACCACTAAATGGTATGTATCCTGTTTCCTTGAAAATCAGTGGTGTGGGCGAGGTTGAACCCCTGATTAACCCCCCCCCAGCCCTTTTACTGGGAATCCGGAGCACTTCGGTGACACGCCCCATATTCGTAGGATGGGTGTGCTCTGCCCAAAGCACCTGGGACTAAAAGATGATCACCTTTCGGGGCCATGACCAAATATGGGAAAGCCAAGATGGGCAAACCAACAGGTCATCTCAGGTCGGATTCGCTTCGAACAACTCAGTCTCCGCCAATCAAAACTTCCACGGCTTCGGTGAACCGCTCCTTGGACATGCCCAGCGGGTCAAAGTAGCCCACCGGCGCCTGGCCCAAAGGCCCAAGAAAGCGGACGGCGAGGTCGGACATGATGCCGTTTCTAGCTGGCGGACCAAAATCCGACGGCACCACTGAAGGAAACCGTGGAGGAAAAAAATGCTGTTTGCTTGGGTAGTTACAGGGGAATCGAATCATTCCAGGGTTTCTTAGGTGGTGCAGGAGTTTTGTCGCACAGAAAAAAGGGAAGGGAGTGGAGGACAGATGGGTATCGATTTCTTGCGGGGACCCTTCGGTGGATGGCATTTGCATGTCACTATGACACCAACCAATTTGTGAGATTGATCCAGTTTCAAAAGATGAAACTGGAACCCCCCCCCTCCCCGGCAGCTACCAAAAGTCTTGCCACCTGCTCGGAAAGTGCGATGAATGGGCACGCTCTCTTGCTCACTCCTACCGTCATTCACCATTCAACCAAACTTCAAAGTCGTTTTCAGGGTTTGGAGGTATGGAGGCTTGCATACCCCCCCACATAAGCTTGTAAGACAGCAAGTACATATAAGCTCCATAGCTCCCAAATCCATATCTTAACATTCCCGGGAGTGACAACTAACTAAGCAACATTCGGAATGCTACCTTCAATCAACCTGCTTCTTCCTGACGCCAACTTTGGATTAAGTCTACTACCTGAGCAGAGAATCAATCCCAAGCCAAAAAGAGATGCAGCTGTGATTAATCTCAATGCTAGGTCCAGATCAGCTGGGTTCATCTGAGAGACCCTTTTCGGGGTCAGCGTGGAATCCCAAAGAAGCAAAACTTAAACAGCACTCAACAATTCGGTGCTTGCACATCTTTGCACCGAGATGGGCACAAACAAAAGGGTAATCTCCGACGGCTGCTTTGGTGTGGAGTGCACAATTTGCATTCAACTGCTTTCGGGAAAAAGACACAGGATCTTGAGCCCTTTCTGTGATACTGCCTGATCACGTTCATCACCACATGATCACTGTGCCAAACATTAGTATCATGTGCAAAGTTGCAACCTAGAACCACCAATTGCCCACAACAAAACCTTTCGCTTTGTACGGTGTAACAGACAAAATAATTATCATCTTCCCACATCCGGCCAAACCGCTATGGTTCCCAAAAAGCACAAGACCTTGCGCAGAACAACTCCTTCGCCCCAAGTTTTCCCATGGATCCCCTGATCCGATGTCACCCATTTGAGCCTGCACGCCAAGCTCATTCTCGAAGGCGCGCAGGGGCGAGTCAGCATAGTTGGCCCAGTCACCCCAGGCGCTGCCAGTCAAGCCGTCCTGCCAGCGGCAAGTGAAAGAAATGGGTTTGTCTCAAAATTGGGGTAGCACCAAAATGGCTAGTTTCCCTTTGGTTGCCCCAAAACGGGTACCCTTAATTGCTGGGTGTGTGTGTTTTTGAAGGTATATTTTTTGGGGTAGTTTGAAAGGAAACCAAAGGACAACAACCATTTTGGCTCCTAAAAACAGACACACCCAGCTCAAGGTATATAGTTGGAACGAGCCTTGGTGAGGAGGTCAGAGAAACCTTAAACACTTCGACAAATCAAGGCAGGTGGGCTATGTAGCATGCTAGGCTATTTAGCCTTTTTCGGTATGCTTTACTTAAAATTCAGCCACTTCCCCTGGGGTTGGGGTGTAAGGGGGGAGCTTGGTGTCATGAAAAGGGGACACAGGTGAAGGTTTTCTGCAAAGCCTGTGTGTGTGAGAGAGAAAGAGAGAGCGAGTGTGTGTGCGGGTGTGTATGAGCGAGAGACAGAGAGAGCGTGTGGATGTGTGGGTGTGTGGGTGTGTGGGTGTGAGTGTGTGTGTGTGTGTGTGTGTTCAAGTTTGTGCTTGTGTGTGTGCTTGTGCTTGCGCTCTTGCTTGTGTGTACGTGTGTGTTTGTGTGTGTGTGCTTGTGTCTGTCTGGGGTTGCCTGGAAAGGCAGTCGATTTAGGAGTTTCCCTTTGACTTCGCCCTTGAGCTTTGGGCACATGCTCAGCACGGAGTGGAAACACGAGAAACAAAACGAAACCGCCACGGCAGTCTCTGGCCGGGTGCGTTCGATTACAATGCTCCCAATGGGAACCTTCCTGCTGGCTGGCTGGGAAACCAAGGCGCGGCCGCTTGCTAAAGCGTTCACCAGGCCTGTAAACATGCAGAAAACATTGCTTGAACAACCTCCCCTTTAAACAGGAACCAGGGGGTTTTCAGACAAAACTTGCCCAACCCGTGTTCACCAATTAGGCCCTGTCTATTCAGTGTCCTTGCTGCTTTGTTTCCTCGGGGTGCCAAAAAACGCACAACTACTGTAGGGAGTTTCGGAATGCAAACATCATAACTATGGAGTTGTTTCCTGAAACGCAAGCTTGGTTTCGCCTATGACATGAGTTGCTTTTTGTCCTTCCCATTTTGGAGCACTGTCCAAATTACTTGGATGCGGTGCTTTTGTTGCCTAGTGTTCGAGTCACCTTAACGGTTTCCATTGTTCTAGCTTAACCCAGGGGGTATCGTTTTTTGGCAGTCCCCCTACCGTTTGCCACGCTTTGTGCGCCCACGGGGTATCGTTTTTTGGGAAGTCGCTCTCGTTCAAGGGTTTGTGCATTTCCACAACATCAATGAAACAACGAATACTAAATACAACAGCGATAAGTTTGGGTTTCTCTGGTGAAACCGTGTAACCAACAAGGAAGCAAAAACGTGCTGAAGGGGCGCCAGCAGGAGAGCACCCTATGTTTTAGAGGCGACGTTTTAGAGGTGATATCTCATTTACCCTCCCTCAGGCAAACATGGAAGTCACCAGGTAACCCTTCAAAGAGGAAGATCCTCTCGCTCGCCTCAAATTTCCGGGCAACCGATTGCCCTGCCAGCACACCTCTGGGGACCTTGACAGGTAAAACCCAAATGAGAAAAACACAACTACTATGCTTGTGCCTGAAAATCAAACACAACCACACTGGCAGGCCCGTATTTAGTGAAACCTCAAAATGCGAAATAGTTCTGTCAGAGATCCCAAAGAGGTTAAAAGTTAAAAGATCGATGCGCTGAAGGGTCGGAATCCAGCCTCCCACCCCCACTAGACTGAAGAACCTTGCCAACCTTTAAGACTTCGAGTTTAGTCTGTTGCCACCCCAAGAGGTACGAAGAACATGGTCCCACCAAACGCTATGCTCACCACAGGATGCCGCTGAGTTGCTTGCTGCCCAGGCTTTCCCCAAGCAATCCAATTGGCCGATTCATTTATAACATGTCCTGGAAGAACATCCCGATGATCGCCATCATCGCCTCAAATTCGGCGGAAGTCGCTGTCAAAAGGTGGAATGAGCGGAGACTTTGACATGAAACCCAAAAAGAAAGTTGCCGAGACTACGGTTTTGGATGGTTGCCTTAAAGAGAATGTAGTCTTCTGAAACCAATTTCGGTCAGCTTCCGTGTTGGAAAAAGGGAAACTTGTTCTTGTGTTTGATTGGTTTTCCCACCTTCGTGACACCCGGACACCTCCCCCATGTGACAATTGGTGATTAAGTCCCACAACGCTGCAGAAGGCAGCATGGGCAAATGCGCACTGGTCAAACTGTAGGGCCGAATCGAGTGGTTGCAAGGCCTTGATCATTTGATCATTTTAGCCAGGACCTTGGCACAGGAGCTCCTCCTAGCAGCCGTTCAAAAAAAAAATGCAAGGGGGCCTTTCATCATTTTAGCCAAGGCCCTAACAGATCACATGTCTCTTGTAGTCCCCGCTCTCCTCAAAGAGACCAAAGAGACCTGTTGGGAAGGCGTTTTTTTTTTCTTCGCGACGAATCCACAAACATGTGGCGCGAGTCCCGGATTTTCGTGAGTCCCCCATGTGCCTCTCACATCAATTTCCTGGTTGCTGGACATGTTGACCCAACCTCAAATGGATATCCTTTGCTTAAAGGGAAAAAAACAGAATTACTTCGCTTCGAGCAATCCCCACCCTCCACACTCACGAGCTTACCACCGTGAACACGGTTGTGTGAGTTCAAGCATGGTTTTCGAGTGGCTTGGGGCCTATGACTGCTCAACAAGCCTCGCATTGAGAGCCTTATCCACCTGTCTGTGTGTGTGTGTGTCAAACTCCACTTGTCTGCGAGCCGACCTCGAGAACTCAAACATCGGTTCCGTTAACAAAAGCCAAGCCCCTTCCAAAAAGAAACTGGACGGAATATACAAGAAGTTGCTTATTCGCAACCCAAAGCAACACAAAAGCATCACCCTTGCCGAGCCTCAGGGCACACTCAAAACAAGAAGGCACCAACATGACATGTAAACCCAACTTTGCGCCGGGCGGAACATTAAGCAAAACCAGACTGGCGAGCTGCTCCGGCTGGATAATGGCGGGATCCACTGAAGAATACTGGCGAGCCGCTCCGGCTCGACACTAGCCGGATACTCGGCAGGATCCACCGGCAAAGGATACTCAGCGGGATTCGGGATACTCGGCGGGATCCACTGGCGAGCTACTCTGGTGGGATACTCGGCGGGATCCACTGGCGGGCTACTCTGGGATACTCAGCGGGATAGTCGGCGGGATCCACTGACGGGCTGCTTTGCTGGGATACTTGGCGGGATCCGCCGAGGAGCTACTCTGGCGGGATCCACTGGCGGGCTGCTCTGGTGGGATACTCGGCGTGGTGGGATACTCGGCGGGATCCATTGGCGAGCAGCTCTGGCGGGATACTGGGCTCGATCCACTGGCCAGCTGCTCTGGCGGATGCTTGGCGGAATCTACTGGCGAGCCGCTCTGGCAGGATACTCGGCGGGATCCACTGGCGAGCTGCTCTGGCGGGATACTCGGATCCACTGGCGAGCTGCTCTGGCGGGATACTCGGCGGGATCCACTGGCGAGCTGCTCTGGCGGGATACTGGCGGGATCCACTGGCGAGCTGCTCTGGCGGGATACTCGGCGGGATCCATTGTCGAGCTGCTCTGGCGGGATACTGGGCGGGGGCGCGGTGTAGAAGCATCGCAAACGCGGATTCCAACATAAAATCTAAAAACCCCTTCCTGTCGGGTGGGGAACCAGACAAAACCACAATATCATCATGGGATCCACTGGCATCCTCTCTGGCGGGATACTGGGCGGGATCCACTGGCATCCTTTCTGGCGGGATACTGGGCGGGATCCACTGACATCGTCTCTGGCGGGATACTGGGCGGGATCCACTGGCATCCTCTCTGGCGGGATACTGGGCGGAATCCGCTGGCGGAATTGTTTGGCGGGATACTGGGCGGGATCCACTGGCATGCTTTCTGGCGGGATACTGGGCGGGATCCACTGGCATCCTCTCTGGCGGGATGCTGGGCGGGATCCTGGCAACCTCTCTGGCGGGATCTGGGGGGGTCCATGCATCCTCTCTGGCGGTTACTGGGCGGAATCCGCTGCTGAATAGTTTGGGGGATACTGGGGGACACTGGGATCCTTTCTGGCGGGATACTGGGCGGGATCACTGGCATCCCTTTCTGGGGGGCTATGGGGATCACTGGCTTCCTCTAGCTGGGCGGTATGGGCGGGATCCACTGGCAGGGCGGGATCCACTGGCATCCTCTCTGGCGGGATACTGGGCGGGATCCACTGGCATCCTCTCTGGCGGGATACTGGGCGGGATCCACTGGCATCCTCTCTGGCGGGATACTGGGCGGGATCCACTGGCATCCTCTCTGGCGGGATACTGGGCGGGATCCACTGGCATCCTCTCTGGCGGGATACTGGGCGGGATCCACTGGCATCCTCTCTGGCGGGATACTGGGCGGGATCCACTCACATCCTCTCTGGCGGGATACTGGGCGGGATCCACTGGCATCCTCTCTGGCGGGATACTGGGCGGGATCCACTGGCATCCTCTCTGGCGGGATACTGGGCGGGATCCACTGGCATCCTCTCTGGCGGGATACTGGGCGGGATCCACTGGCATCCTCTCTGGCGGGATACTGGGCGGGATCCACTGGCATCCTCTCTGGCGGGATACTGGGCGGGATCCACTGGCATCCTCTCTGGCGGGTCCTCTCTGGACCCCCCCCCCCCCCCCCCCCCCCCCCCCCCCCCCCCCCCCCCCCCCCCCCCCCCCCCCCCCCCCCCCCCCCCCCCCCCCCCCCCCCCCCCCCCCTGGAGGGTGTGGTGTAGCAGCATCGCAAGCGTGGATTCTACTTCAAATCTAACAACCCCTTCCTGTCGGGTGGGGAAAAACTTGAACTGGGCCCATCAAAGTGGCATTCATTCTCAAAAATGTGTT